TCTCTCGTCGAAATCGCAGTTATACGATATAGAACTTAGGACAGAAGTTGGGATAACGCACGATTGCGAACGTGTTAGGAAGTTAGCCAAAAACGGGTTGCAAATATTAGGACACGTTGGATTAAGCAAAGCTACCTCTATTTCTCTCGTCGAAATCGCAGTTACGTGATGTAAAACTCAGGACAGAGGTTGGGATAACGCACGATTGCGAACGTGTTAGGAAGTTACCCAAAAACGGGGTGCAAGTATCAGGACTCGTTGGAGGCTCAGTTTCTAAGCGGGCCAGCTGTTCCACCCCCTCCTGGGCGTCTGTTCGGGAGATCAGCCGGTATTCAGTCTATCTGAAGAAACTATCGTGCGGAGGTGGTTTCGAGAGGCAACGGTGAAGGTAGGTACGAGCAGCTGGATCGGTAAGGACTCGAAAAACTCTCGGTCACGCCTTCCCCCGGCATTGTTCGTATCTAATGCTGCTCTCTTTTGCCACGGGAAAAAGATCTCCACGTCGAAATGTTTCCTTTCATTTCGTTCCCCATAACGCGTTAACTCACCCCGCCTAATTCTTAATTACGCGTACCTGCGCTCGCTGTTCCTCCATCTCCATGCAGATCCGTGCATCAGATCCTTCGTTTTCTGGTTCTCGTTCACCTTGGGTATCCGGGCTTAAAATAGTGTCTGAAATTACGCGTTTTCCCGTGAAATATCCCGATCCATCGTTTATACCGGGCGAAATGAGCGAAGCGAGGACCTTCCCAGTGAAGAGACAGGTCTGCGGTCACTCGCTGTCCTGTTGCTCGGTCGTATGAGCGGTTAACGTCGCGAAATGAACGAAATACGACGTTGCACGCACAGCTACAAAGTAGCTGACGAGGAACGTTCTGCGTTAAACGTTCCCTCCGTTTTCTCCACGGTTCGCTGGCACGCACGATTCCTCTGACACGCTCAAACTGCCGCGATTAACTCGCGATCGTTCGCGCAGAACGCGGCCATTTTACCACGATTAACGTCTCCGCGCGTAATTGTTCGCGATGGATTAATCGAGGCCGAGATCCAACCGTGGTCCTCGTCGGTTATACATTCCCCGTTGGCGTGTGCCGTTTACGCTTCCTGGTAAAAATCCGAAATTTCAAGAGCATCTGCATCCAGGCAGCTGGCTGCGCCACCCCCTTCGTCACTTATCCAGTGGGTCGGTGACGCGCGCGATACACAAACGAGACATTTCCATCTGGCGAGGGCCAATTTGAAGCAAGGCGAAGTGTAGCGCAGCGAGATGGACGGGCGTTTTTCTCGGAAACGATCAGTCCGTTGCAGGTAGACCCGGTGCGAAAGGATTGCGGTCGGGAAGCATTAGCGGACATCCGGAAGAATGGGAATTTGCGCGCGAGTGGCGAGGCAGGAAGGACCACGCGCCTCGTGGCGGCAGATGACCAAACATGTCGAAATGTATCGAGTTTCCTTGTAAAGCTGCATTTATACGCTAGGCCCACGCGAGGGATTCTGTTTGTTTTCGGCTTCCTCGTGGTAAACGTGCACGTGGAAAGCCAGCTTTGTTTTCTTACGCGCTCTCCAGGGTACCTGAGTGTACAGGTGATCGCGAACACGTCCTCCTTTGTTCGTCTCTCTCTCTCTCTTCTTGTGCTATTTGAGCAGAAGCAGTTTTCTCTCTCTCTCTCGAGCTTCGATAAAGCTACCAGCAGCTTCCACGGGGAGATAAGCATCCCCGTGGATCGCTGACGCGGATTTCCCGAATAGCGGAGACAACGATGGCGTTTCCGGAATACGAAGAGGATCGGTAATAAACGGATTCTTATCAGCTGTGGAACGTTAGACGATACTCGCGGCTGTTCCCTTTGATGTCCCGAGAGATACCGATCGGTGCACGTTACCCCGATGATGTTCGGCGACGTGTGCCTTGACCAGGAGAATTTACGAAAAAGGATGGAGAGCGCCGATCGAGCTGTCCTCCGCGGCAAAGTGACGTTCTGTTCCTTTCTTTAGCTCGGAGCATATGCTGCCAGCTGCTCGGACCGCCGGCCAAAGGGTTCAGTCTCGAATTTTCAAATTCCATTCTTCGCGATTTCTTTCCACGCACTTCCTCTGTCTTTGTGTCCCATCGCGGCCGTTCCGTGGGTCAGCTGTTCATCGTCCTTCCTTCGAATTTCAATCCGAAACGCCGTTGAAGTCTCGCAAATTCGAATATCCTATCTACGTGACACAGGCATCATGGAGAGCTTTGCAAATTTCATTCTTCGAAATTTCTTTACATCTACTTTCTCTGTCTTTGAGTCCCATCGTGGTCGTTCCGTGAGTTAGCTGTTGATAGTCCTTCCTTTAAATTCGAATCCAAAACGTCGTTGAAGTCTTGCGAATTCGAATATCCCATCAATTCGACGCAGACATTGTAGAGAATTTTTAAAATTTTATTCTTCGTTATTTCTTTCCACGCACATCCTCTGTCTTAGTGTTCGATTGCAGCCATTCCGTGGGTCAGATATTGGACGTTCCTCCTTCAAATTCAAATTCCAAACGCTGTTGAAGTGTTGCAAATTTAAATATCTCATCAATTTGACGCAGACATCGCAGAGAGTTTTTGCAAATTCCATTCTTCGCCATTTCTTTCACGCAATTTCTCTGTCTTTTAATTCCATTATTAGACTCCAGGCCGTTCTGTGGGTCAGCTGTTGATCGTCCTTCCTTTAAATTCGAATCCAAAACGTCGTTGAAATCTCGCAAATTCGAATATACTATCAACTCGACGCAGACATCGTGAAGAGTTTTTAAAAATTTTATTCTTCGCCATTTCTTTCCACGCACATCCTCTGTCTTAGTCTTCGATTGCATCCGTTCCGTGGGTCAGCTGTTGGTCGTTCTTCCTTCAAATTCGAATTCAAAACGCCGTTGAAGTCTCGCAAATTCCAATATTCTATCAACTCGACGCAGATATCGAGGAGAATCGTTAGGAGGATCGAAGGTTGGGCAAAAATCCGGCAAATTGCTTCGAAACGCATTGTCTATTAGGGTGTTCAGGCGCGTGGAAAACGATCGGGCCGGTAATCGTCTTGGGCCCGGGTTAAAGTCGCTGGTATTAACTACATCCTGACACAGAACCCCTGCGGATCGGTTTCTCTCTAATTTTCGACGATGCACTGACGTCACCGTGTTCCCCGTGTGTTCCGGTCTGTATGCTCGGGACCGGAAGCAACGGACTCGTTGGGGAGCGTTGAAACCGAAAATCCCCCACGGATATCGATGTTCTGGCGTTTAAACGAGGAGGAAGTCGATATTCCCTCGGGAACCGAACGGTCGCAACGAGAGGAGGACGGAGAGGCTGTTTGCGGAGGTCGGAAAGCGGCTGCGGAGCCTATGGCGTCTGCGCTATGCGATTTATCGCCTTGCCGCGGGGAAGAAGCGCGATAAAAAGGATAAATGGTCTTCGTCGTAAAGTATGACACATTCGATGTGCGCGATAAATAACGTCTATCGCGGGCTTCCTAAAAACCGAACAATCACCGCGCACTAACGATGGTGCTCGGTACTTAGAATGTGGGAATATCGCAAAACATCCTTTAAAGCAATCGCAAACCTCGGTCATAATCGTTACGGCGGCTGACCATCGTGGTCACGGTGTTCACCTGTCCATGCTTTGGTCACACTCGAGGCCGCCGTGCACGTACACGGGCGCACATAACCTCGTGTGCCCGCATGATCTACGGTGCACGGTGTTTTTCAGCTCGTTTTCTGTAACGGTCGAATTTACCCCCATCGCTTGGAAACCGTGATATACAGAACGTAGCTTCGAGTTTTTGGCTCGCGATCGATCCGCGAAATTCTACCTCCGTACACCCAACTACGTATATGGAGCACCATCGTTCGCTACCGTCGCCATTCCGTTCCCCTACGATTCGCATTAATTGCACGCGCGGTCGATGCGAAATAGAAAGGGTGTTACGAAGCGGTCGATCCAGTGCGGTATCAAGGATAACACCTCGCACCGAAACGAAATTTCGACCTTGAATGAATTTGCTGCCCGACATTCACAATGCGCCATACAAAACGCGAACCCCTATCGTAACAACTGCGTCAGCACGGTAATCCTGCGAGCATCGCGACGCAAGGAAACGCGTTGCTTTCCGAACGAAAAAGATGGAAAACATTGGAAACTCGAAGAGAATTGGCGTTCCATCGCGATCATTGTTGCGGAGATATCTGGCCCCTAGAGGAAAAAGAATCGCAATGACGCGATGGTCAATTTCCAACACGAAACTTGTTCCGACATCGGCTCTCCCTCTTTTTCTGCCTGGTCCACCTGCTTTCGAACGATCCTTCTTTTTTCCTTTCGTCGCAGAACGCCCGGCTTCCCGCGAAAATACATACGAAACACGTATTCTTGACAATTGGTCGAATTACCTCTCGGCCCCGTGAGCGAACAGCTCCGAAATAATTAGCCACGTCCGTTACGATCTCTCTGGGCTGTTAAACACTCGCGTCCAGGCCTTACGAGAGAGCAATCGTGGAAGAAACGATTCGAAGGAACCACGGCTCGTATAGGAGAGTACTCCGCGCGATCGTGATCGCTCTATACGTCGTGCTACTTAGAAAAAAATAAAAGGTAGGCTTTATGGCGCGAGCCTCTTCCCTTCCCTGGCCAAAATCGCTTAGCATAATCCGTTGGACGGTTCCGTGGGCCGAGAGTGGAAGAGAGACGAAGGTACGAGGAGAGAAGCGTGATTGGTAGGTGGGAGAAGGTGAGGTTAGCTCGGTCGGAGCGAGACAGAGCGACGGTGAGTGCGCGCCATTTTTACTGCGCATCCGCGTCCGCGCACCAATCAGATTTGAATGCTGGGAGTCGGTGGAAGGGCACCGGACCTCGTGGCTTCGGCAAACGGCGGAGTCGAGGCAAGCTTCCTCGCCTTGAGGATTCAACCAGAACGAGTCTGACCGTCGTACGGCGAAGACCAGAAGCTGGATTGTCTAGTTCGGTGCTCGCGACTCGGCAAGAAAGCAGCGGCGCATTTTCGAGGAATCTTGACAGAAAAGTCGAAGAAAACCGGTGGAGACACGGGAAGATCATTCGTTCGGGGAGCTGCGAACGCACGGCGAGGAGGAAAACACGCTGGCATACGTTGGAATTCGGCTGCCTGAAGGGGAAATCCGTGGCGGTTTCGAAGGTTCCGAAGGTTTGGAAGGGAGGCAGAACGGAGCGCGAGAGTGTTTCCTTTGCGAGTTGATTGGTCGAAACAGAAGAAGTCTTCGAGATGCTGGCAGCTTCGATCTGTCGCGAAGTTCACTTCACAGTGTTGTCCAGCACGACGATGGCCTCGCGCGTTCCACGTTGCTTGTTCGGCAAGCCGAATTCGAGGGAAACCGTGGAGATGCTGCACGAGGCCCTGGACGCGGAGAGAAGCAAATTCGCGAAGCGATGGGGCGTCGATCCGCGATCCGAGGACAAGGAGAACAGTTACCAGAGGAAGCACCACGACAAATACGAGCAGTCGCCGAAGAAACGGAGTAATCCGTATTCCAGGCAAACCAGTATACACGGTGAGTACAGATTTCCTCGTAATTCGCTTAGACAATGGAGCCAGTGGTTTTCTCGGTAATGCGCGATGCATCGGCTGTGACTCAGCGTTACTCGGCACGTTCGTATTATGGCGTTTTATAAGCTTCCTATACCCAAATGGTAGCAAGTTTCGTGCTTCGTCTTCGTTTATCGCAATTTCCACGAGAACCTCTTACGATTCGATCTTCGATCAAAATTCATGCCAGATTTCGGGCATACGTGTTACGACGTAGGATCGGAATTGGGATAGAACTGCGCAGTATCGATCGATTTTCGGAGCAATTATATACGCTTTGAAACGGAGTAAATCGGGAAATAGGGGAAATTAGGTCTCGCGGAGGATGGATGCGTGGCGTGGAGCGTTGTGGGAATTATACGCGAGATCGAAATAAATTTGATAAGCGTAGTACGGCGGTGAGAGTATGGTCGGTTTTTGGCGGGAAAGCGAGAGCGCTCGGCGAGGAAAGGGAAGGTACAAGGCGCAGGCGCAGGCCGGTCGCGTGGCTCCGACCTGTTTTCTTAGTCTAGCCTCGCTCCGCGTCTCTTCCGCCTTCTCTCTCCCTCCAGCTCCTGGCCCAGCCAAGCTCCTGGTTTTACGCGGCTATCCAGAAACTTTCGACCCTGTCGTCTTAACCACTATCGCTTTCCAAAATTACAAACTCGCCAGCGGTTCTCGCCCGTTTCGGCTCTTTTTTTTCGTCCATTCTCTAACCACTATCGCTTTCCAAAATTACAAACTCGCCAGCGGTTCTCGCCCGTTTCGGCTCTTTTTTCTCGTCCATTCTCGCGCGCTCTCTCTCTCTCTCTCTCTCTCTCTCTCTCGCTCGCTCCCTGGCCACGGCGTCTGGCTATTAGCTCGTCATCCTTTCGTACACGACGGAAGTGGCCGCATTCATCGCGGTCGACGCTCATCTTGGCCCGCGTTGCGTCTGGATCGAACGTTAAGACATGTCTGCCGGTTGCATCGCTATGAAATGACGCAAAAGCTGGAATGACGAATCGTTCTAAATATGAAAGCGACGTGCAAGAGGATAGAAGGTCTAGAAAGTGTTCCCATAGGTTGTCGAATGAATCACGCCGATGAGTCACGCGTGTTTGAAGGCGGACGAAATACCTGAAGGGTCCTGTGACTCATCGAAGGGCCCCAGTTTTCGAGGAGTAAGACGAACTTGCGATCGCATTCCTCGAATTCCTTCGGTCTAATGCGCAACACCAGCTCGGAGTTGCTTCCCTGTGAACGGTCGCTCGTTGCACTATGGATATCACAGATTCTTGGCCAAGTGCATATTTCGTCTGCGACCGTTCGCGAGTAGATCAGTCTTCGAACAATTCGAATCTCCTGAAAATTCACGAGTTCCCCACTCGTTGATCGAGGATAAAATGGAGCCTGTACCTGTTAGCTATTTTACAGAGCCGAATCGCGTTTAGAAGCGTGCACGGAGACGCACGAAGCCATTTTCGAAGCGTACGGAGAGGCACGAAAAGTCAGCGGAGCGAGTCACGACGACGAACCCTTTTCCAGCGACACCTGTTAACCTCCGCTACACCGGTGACGACTCCGGTGTCTTTTTCCCACGATTAAATCAGACCCGCGAACACGCGATACCGAGAACGGGACCTTCCGAAGGCCGTGCACCACCTGTCGCGGTAGGCTACCTTCTTGCGTTCGCATTTGCATTTCTTCCGACCGTTTCCCGTCGCGAGTATCGGGAAAACTTGTACCCTCTCGCGAGGATAGAGAATAATCGAGAACGCTGGACCCCTACCGGTCCCAATCCGGGGGTTGCGGTGCCCTGGGTTCTAAAGAGAAGACTCTTGGGTCCTTCGCACGTGTTCGTCAGAAATGAGAAAGAAACTGACCTCCTTTTAAGATCCACGGCTGGAAATTCTTGGCTGGATTGAAAAACTCTCTCGAGAAGCAGGAGGGTGTACCTCGAGGATCCGCGGACAAAGGTGATCTCGATCTTTGTTCCGAAATCTGGAATGGAACATATGGACAGGTAGACGTTGGCGAGCAGTTCTAGGGTATTCCGTGAGCCGGCTAGGCGAGGAAACAGATGTTGACAGGCGAAATTCTCCAGGGAATTCTAGCCTCGTTGGTCGAGGAAGCTCGGTTTCGCGCGCCATATGGCAAAGCAGTGCGAGGAGGAAGGACGAGAGAAAGGATCGTCGCGTCCTCGACATATGGCCGCTTCACCGATTTGTTCCAGCGTTCGCACTTGTCGCGGTTATCGGATAAAATCGGATTCCTCGATCTCTGGATCTCCAGATGACGATCGACGTGCCCCAACTGCTGCCCGGTTCCCGATCCCGATCGCTGCTTTGAATTCCGTGCAGAGAGAAGAGAGACGCGAACAATGCAAACGAGAAATTGCCAGCGTGCTACCATTAACGCGGAATCGTAGCTGTGGGCCAGAGAAAGGGCGAGAGATCGAGGGAAAAAAAGGAAACAGCAAGGGTGCTCAGGTGACTACCTGATCAAAAATAGGGTGTTCGCGAGACGTTTTGTTCGCCGGTGGCTTTTGTTGTGGAAATTTTCGTGCTTCTCGCGTGGTGCGTTCCCCATACCACGTTAAACCGCGTCGCAATAAGGCTGACCCCTCTGGCTCTGCGAGTGTGTCCACTCTCCTTGCCCGATGAAACCTTAAAACTTACTTCGCGAACAAAAAGATATCTCGCAACGGTCGCTCTTCTCTTTTCGCTTCGGACTGCTTGTGTCCCCCTTTGCGCGAGAGCACGCGCGAAATCGAGTGCCGATCCGTGGATTTATTATGCATCCGGCGAGCCGCGTATCGTACTTAAAATTTTAATTAACCGCAAAATGTGCATACTAATCCTGTAACCTGGCCCGTTTCGTTTGTTGCAGATTACTGGCGAGCTCGGAAGGTATGCGAGGTGAATAAGAAGCCCCTTGCCTCCTCGGCGGACGCCACGAAGCAGCAGAGCGAGGCGTCGAAATCCTCGAAGACGATGAAGTCATCGAAGAAGGCAGCGCAGAATTGAGGAAGCGAACGTGTATTTAATTGCCACTGCTCCATCGTGGTCTTCCGTGATACCGTCGTCGTTGTAAATTAACCGATCGTCGACGTTGTCCTCGTTAGCGTTAATTGCCAATTGTTAACTATATTATTTCTGTAAATAACGCGTCACGTGATATATATATGGAGGTTTGGATGAGCTCGTCAGCCAGCAGTAAACCGATCGCGCGTCTGTCCACATGCTCCGTCTCGAGACAGAGGAGTATACTTCCGTTGTGGCCGGATCGCGAGGACTGGCGTTAATGGCGGATTCAATGGCGTCTGCACGGACAGAACGTCCTTTCAATTAGCCGCGGAGCGAGCCATCGAAAGCCTGAATCGGTCGGTTCCTCGACGAACCGACAATGCAGCGCCTCCAAAGAATAACGTAAGCGAGAACTCCATGTTTAATCTCGTCTTCCGGGATGGCGGAGAAAGTCCTATGTATGTCTAGACACTTAGAATTACGAAAAACTCTAGTCACCTAGCTATTTAAGGTAAATCAAGTAATAAACGATCGTGCTTTCATACAATACCCGCTGTGTCTGCTCGTTTACCCTTCCTCCCTCCTCGTCACACCGAAATTCCGAAGGTCCTCCAAATTTCGGAACGCACACGCGTAATCGCCGACTGCTCGGCACGCGGCGGTCGAACGGGATCATCGAAAATTAGGCAGCTGACGAATACAAATGCCATTTTGTAACGAACATTTTGTAACATCCACCTGGATTCGAGTCATGACCGTGGTCCGCGGCACGCGCGTGGGGTAAATTACAGGGTGGCTCGAAGAGCAACGGAACGTTGCTAAATCAAATTTCACGAGCACACTTTTTCGAAATTCAACCGGATAACGATTTCGTCCAGCATGTTCGACGTTTTGGGTGAAAATAAGCGATGAAAAGGATGGAGAAAAGGGAGAAAGCCGATAACCGATCGATTCTTTTGGCACACCCTGTGTAGCTACGTGTCTGAGCATTTACTTATCTTTGACGTGGTATGAGCATGGGGGTGGCAGAACACGGTATACATATATATGGTTAATTATAATGCGTGATGCACCGCAGGGTCTTCTGCCATGGGGGAACCCTACGAAGGGAAGCAGCTGGTTCATGCTTTTAATGGCTGTCATCCTAGCTGGTCATTTCGATAATGGTAACTAATACGGCTGGTTTCCGAGGTCTGTAGAATCGCGTTAAATCGAACACCGACCGAAAGTCGAAGCTTTTCTAACCCTAGCAGAGGCCAGTGCACGTACATCGCTGATAACCGGTGCTCTAAGCATTTTCCACGTTCCCTGTACATCCACCTAAGCGATATTCACTTAACTTAAACTAAGTACGTTTGATATCGAGAGGTTGGAAGCGCACCAATACTGCGTCGCAGCTTTCGAGTATAATTGGAAACCTAAAACAGGACGTGACCTCATCGCGTTATTGTATCCAAGATCGTTAAGGACCCGGTCGTTGCGATATCCAATTACTCGAGAAAAGAGAGAAGAAGTTCCGAGTGTAAAGCAAAGACGACAAAAAGAGGGGAAAAAAGGGGAAAAAGGGGGAAAAGGGGGGGGGGGGAAGAAGAGGAAAAAGGGAAGGAAAGAAAAGAAGCAGAGGACAGCGACGCGTTACGGCAGAGCGCAGGTAAATTATAGGAAAAAAGAGGAGAACGAGGACGACATCGTAGATCAAATTTTCGCCTTTGCGGAATCCCCGGCGTCCAGGTGTCGCCACCGTGCGTACGCGCATGCGCTTATCGCCGCTACACGCGTACCGCTGGGCCCACCGCAGGCATAATTGATCGAATTAGTCGCGGAATCGACTCACGTCGAAATTACACCTGACCCCGACGAACTTCCGACGGATCGATCTTGATAGATCGTTGGTCCGCGCCCGATCCATCAAGCTTCTTTTATTTAACCAAACTGAGGTTAATCGATCACTTTTTACACGCCATCGGGTTCATTAACGGTCATTTGACGTAGGCCTGGGCTCTTTTTTCCCTCCCTTTTCCCTTCTTTTTCTCCTCGCACACCTTTACGCGCCGCGTGATCGAGCGTTTTCGTCGTGGCTGAAATAAAACTATCCTTGAGCAACGATTCGGCGTAGAGAGTTATTTCGACGAACCGATTTCCAACGATCTCGACGAAATTTCGCACCCGTGACCGTTTAAGATGGCAGTTTATCACGTACGAGGTTATTGCCAAGTGTGTATAATAAATCATATCAAACGGGTAAAAAAGACGAGTTGCATCGGACGTTGGAGAGAAGCCTTTCATCGAGGAGGACATGTCCCACTGACAAAGGCTTAACGGACAAATGCTTAAAGATCGAAGAGTCGGGAGAAAAGGGACGCAAACGAAGCGATGGTACTGCTATCATTCCGGTTAATCGGAGAATAGTAATCGGGGAGGGTAATGGCCGATGGAAAGCGTCCAAACGACGGCCACAATGGCCTAACGAACTTGCCCAGTGGCGTTTTGCTTTCTAACGGTAGCACGCGGCTGCTACGTTCTCTACTTTTCACCCCGTTGTGACCTGTATTAACTAATGCCCTGTAAACACGCGTCTTCGGAGGGGAGTAACCGACTGCTCTAATTAAAGGACATTCATATCGACTGGCCCAGCCATCGAACCCTTTTCACTCGAGTTCGCGGAAACTGGTCCGGATGACCGTTCTACTCTATTCGCGAGCACCATTCGCCATTTTCTCCCCAACCCGGCTTTTCATAAGGTTCCATTAATCATTCCGGGACGTCAGGGTCTAGGATCGCCAACGTCTGTCATGTAGATAGGCGATTATGCGAGTTCGTTGCATAATTTGTGGATTCGGGGGCATTGGAACGATTCGGTTAAGCGAGATATAGCTTTCGTGCCAGTTTTAGGGAGTTTCTGCAACAGCGAGGGATCGGTGTGCTGGTTGTTGCTTTTTCAAATCGAAGGCTGAAGGAAATTTAACGTACACAAGGGTACGCGTGTCTGGTCCGGAGACAAAACAAAAGTTAAACTGGGTCGGGTACACGAGCAAGAAAGTGCACGTGTCGATGGCTGGAAAGGAAGTGGGAATTATAGGGAAAAAATGGAGGAAAAAACTAACCAGTTTCTTGCGCGCGTCGATACTGCATGTCTGCACGGTGACAGTACACATGGTGCGTCCAGCGAACTGCACGCAAAGTACGTCTTAACGATTGACAGTAATTCTGTCGACGCATCGGGCACGTCGGATGCCGCATAAATCCGTCGATTCGCTGAGAGTTCAAATGCCACTCGAGAATTAAACAAGTACGATGCGAAAAGTTGCGCCGTTAAATCGGCGATGAAGGCCTCGCGATCTTTGGCTAAATTCAGAGTTGCTCTTACCGAAATGTAGCAAACTTTTAGAGTTGGCAAATTTTTACAGTAGAACTTTCATATTCGAATTTTCGTATCGAACAAGTACGAAAAGATTACAATAGCACACGAGAACTAAACTAGTACTATGCGAAAAGTAGCGCCGTTAAATCGGCGATGAAGGCCTCCTGACTTTTGGCTAAATGGAGAGTTGCCCCTAGCGAACTACGGCAAAGTTTTAGAACTGGCAAATTTTTACAGTAGAACTTTTATATTCGAATCTTTGTATCGAACAGGTAGGAAAAGAATACTAATAGCATTCGAGAACTAAACTAGTACTATGCGAAGACTAGCGCCATTAAATCGGCGATGAAGGCTTCCCGATCTTTGCCTAAATCCAGAGTTGCTTTTACCTTACTATGGCGAAATTTCAGAATCGAATTTTTGTAGTAAAACTTTCATATTCGAATTTTTATATCGAAGAGAGGCGGGAAGAATTCGAATAGCACTAGAAAATGAAACAATGCGAAAACTAGCGCCGTTAAATCGGCGCTGAAGGCCTCGCGATCTTTGCCTAAATCCAGAGTTGCCCTTACCGAACTATGACAAATTTTTGCAATAGAATTTTTATATTCAAATTTTTGTACTGAACAGGTTCGAAAAGAATTCCAATAGCACTCGAGTATTAAACTAGTACTATACGAAAACTAGTGCCTTTAAATCGGCGCTGAAGGCCTCGCGATATTTGGCTAAATCGAGACTTGCCCCTACCAAACTATAGCGAATTTTTAGAATTCGAATTTTCATATCGAAGAGAAGAGTTCGAATGGCACTCGAATTAAATGTTAGCAGACTTCCTCCACTGTTCCTCGATATAACACGATATATATGCAAATATAAGTCACGTATTCCCTTCTTAATTTAATTTCAGAAATGGGTACGACAAAATCCTAGCAAGCAGACTTCGTTCTCCAAGAATAGAAAAATTCTTTAAACACTTGTGCTATATTTAGAAAAATAATTTCCAAAAACGGTAATTCCTTCCTAATATTTTTCTCAATAGCATTGCGCGATATTAATCTTGCCCTGCAAAAATTTAATTTCCGAAATGAAATTCTCATCAGGAGAATGGTAGCTGCGAAACGAAGGGAAGGAGTAGGAGCGAAAGGCGCGTAGGCGAATGACAGTGACGCGCAAGAGGAAGGCCGAAGAAAAGGGAAGAGACGCCTGGAAGAGCGAGGCACTTCTGGGTGCCGATGAAATTTCAACCGGGCCACTTTTCCCCCACCCACGAAGTTTCGAAGGATCGGTTCGCCCGGTAAGTTATAGTTACGAGATGCAAGTACGTTTGCAGCGTGTGGTTCGACGGCAGATGTCCCACGGCAGCGAGTCCTCTGTTCGGTGGACCAAGACTCACCGCAAAAACTGATCGACCGTACTGAACCGAGCGAGGTTATGTCTACCAGCGATCAGAGCGTTGTCCTTCGTCCTATCTCTCACGGTAGTCTTCCTGGGAGAATCGCTGCGAGCGAATTCGATCGGATCGGCAGGCACGGGATCGTCGAGACGCCGATTTTCTCATGCCTCGCGATACCACGATCGCCGCGAACCTCGCGACACCTAGAAACGAATCCATCGGCTTTAGGACGAAGCGAGAAACGGGGGCAGGAATAGAAAGAAATAGACCTAAACTGAGCAATCGTACTGAAAGGAGCAAGACTATGTCTACCGATCAACGATTAGAGCGTCATCATCCGGCCTGTCTCTCACGGTAGTCTTCCTGGGAAAAGAGGATCACAGCTGACGAATTCGATCGGATCAGTGACTACGAGATCGTCGAAACGCCGATTTTCTGATAGCTCATCGATAACACGATCCTCGAAACACCGATCGTCGATACCGCGATCATCGAAACGCCGATTTTCTCATGAAACGCGATACTACGATCGTCGTGAGCCTCGTGACGTCTAGAAACGAATCCATCGGCTTTAGGACGAAGCGACAAACGGAGGTAGAAATAGAAAGAAATAGACCTAAACTGAGCAATCGTACTGAAAGGAGCAAGACTATGTCTACCGATCAACGTTCATCCGTCCTGTCTCTCACGGTAGTCTTCCTGGGAAAAGTGGATCGCAGCTGACGAATCCGATCGGATCAGTGACTACGAGATCGTCGAAACGCCGATCTTTATTTGGCTCGCGATAATGTGATCATCGCAAGCGTCATGATGCCTAGGAACGGATCTATCGGCTTTAAGACAAGGCTAGAAACAGGGCAGGAATAGAAAGAAATAGACCTAGACTGATCTATCATACCGAATCTAGCATGGACATGTCTACCGATCAGAGCG